CTATAATTTAACAATCCTACTCTACTCACAACAAGTACATCACTTACTTATAACCATAAAAGGCCTTATTTTATCTTAGTTATTACAAACACTCCAGATGCTTAAAATATAACAGAAGGTAGTAGCTAAAATTGTTATCCAAATACTTCTAAAGATATCTACAAAGTTTTATAAACAAATCTAGAAGCCATATTGTAAAAAATTTGCAATATGGAAAAAGCAATAGGGTATATCTACCTCCAATACAATAAATACAATACAGGTATTAACTCATAAACATACTCTATATCAACAAAGGAAATTCATATATACATGCTTCTGCATTTTACAGATTAACTGCATGATGAAGAAGAGAGGTACCCTCCCAAAAAACAAGCACTACAAAAAGTTCATCTCCAGTTTATGCTATGAATTTAATACGGTAAACCATCTACAGTAGCCTAATATATTATAAACACTTTTTAACATTTTATATTGAGCTAAATAAATAAGGTATAAAGCTAAAAGTTATATAAAATGTTAGTTGAATCTAAAGCTTTTAAATAAAAAAAAAATATAAAATTCTGTATAGTACTTTTTGAAATAATTATGTTTAAAAAATTTTTGTATTTTTTTATTTGTATAATTTATTAGTTTTTAATATAGATTTAATATAAATATGAATTCTAAATTTTAGTGTATATTAAATTTTTTTTTTATTAATAAACTAGAAATTTTTTTAATAAAATTATTTAGCATAACAAATTGTATATATCTTGAAAATTTTATAATTTTTTAAAAAATATTTAGATATTTATTATATATAGTAATAAAATTACTATATTTGATAATTTGATAATTTTATTTTAAAAATTTATATTAACTTTAAATAATAATATTTTGTTTAAATGACCAAACATTGAACTCTTTCTAATGATCATTTGGACCACAATTTCCAAAAACTTATTACTAAGAAAAAAAATAGTATACTAGAGTAAAGTCGATAACTCTTATGTAATATATAGGAAAAAGGACCTCTAAGTTAGCAGCTGTTATTTAGAGGTAGTTCTTATATACTACCTGCTAACAGCCTTAGAGTTTATAACTTACTGACTAGAGACATGGCACTTCTCATATGCTACTTGTGACAAGTTTAGAGTTTATCACTCACCTAAAAGACTTAGTACTGTGCAGGCTTGGGTATATAGTTGTTTCTAGCAAAAGAAAACTCATACTCTTTTAGTGTTTACAAATATTTTTTCTCTTTTTATATTTTGCTGACTTTACCAAAATTTTAAACAAAAAAGTTGGCATTTCAGTTTACTTTTTCCAAAAAATTAGTATTGTTTATACTTTTCATTTTTGAATAGACGAAGCAGAACATAAACTGGGATTGTTTTGGCAATAATCTTCTACACCATGTGACAAACTAATTGACGCTCTGGTTAATGAACCGAACCAAATTAGATATAATAGTTAGAAGAAATTTAATGATAAGGCTTAGCTTTACAACAGAGATATACAAGATTTTTAAATTTAAAAATTAGTTTAGTTTAAATTTAATTAGATATATAATTTCCACAACTGTGTCTAGTACAGGCTATAATAGTGCTTTCATAAATTTATTTTTTTCCTTCCTTTTTCTTCTTCTTTTATAAATCAATTAAATTCTTCTGCTCAAGAAGCTAGAAGAAAAAGATCAGAAAAGAAGCCAATTTTGATAGGCTATAAATACTATTTAGTGATATAGTAAAGAATTCATTTGCAGGATTTTTTAATATAGAGATAAACTTTACTATAGCAGATCAAACATGGGTAATTTGGGCACTTCAGTATTACAAAAATCCAGGTTAGTCAATATTTGTAACTTAAGTGAACTTTAGATAACTTTAGTCAAAACTGCATTTTTACCAGAAGTTCAAATATTTATACCTAATAAAATATTGCCGAATTTACAAAAAAAAATATTTCATTTAAAAATTTTAAAAATTTAGAATTATATATAATTTATTACACTAAACAAATTTTACATAATAATTATTTATAGTATACTTAATAAAAAATTTTTTTAAAATATAGTAATTATAATAACTAATTTTTTAAAATTATTAATTTTATATAAATGTAACATTATACAAAATTATATAACCTTAATTAACTTAAAAACTACTGTATAGAATTTTGCAAATTTTTTTTTATTTAAAAATTTTAAATTTAAAGAATAATTTGTATAATTTTTAGACTTATATCTTATTTATTTAGCTCAATAAAAATTTAAAAAAGTGTCTATAATAACATGGTAGACCACTGTAATTATATATTAACTATTAAAACCTAGATAAGTCTTGACTACTCTAGTAGGTTTAGGTTGCAAATAACTAGTTTCACTATAGTTTTAATAAGCTTCTAGTCTGAGCTCTCATTCTTGAATGTGTTTATTTTCTTTTGTTATATACAAATTCTATAAAACTGTCTTCTGCACACTAATTATAAGTTTTCCTTGCGAATTTTTGATAATATTATAGTCCATTCAAATCTAATGTAACAACAAAAAAATTTTAGTAAAACTTTTACTGTTGTTGTTGACACTAAGGTCCTAGATTAGAAATATTCTTAATATCGAATATGTAATATACCCATATAATTTTAATATTTTGTGAACAGAAATCGCTTAAATCACTATAAAACCAATACACTTCATAATATTTACATAACTTCTAATATGAACTATTTACACTAAATAAATTTGTGCAATTTAAGTCTTTATGTAGTTTCTATATAATCACTTGTATAAATTACTCAATAAAGATACGAGCAAGGCCTCATCTTAACGACAAAAATAAATAAATAATAATAATAATAAAATAAAATTATTGTAATGTGACATTAATATAAAAATCAATTATTAAATGTAAAAATTTATAGCTTATATAAGATAGCTATTACGAACTATTTGATAATGCCCATGGCATTAAATTTTTAATCAGTTATTATAAAATATATAGTTTATGCATTTAAGATTAATTAATAAATAATTAGCTATTACAAACTATTTATAATGTCAAAAACAACATCAAATTTTTAATCAATTATTACTCATTAAGGGGTTTCAGAATTAAAAAAAAAATAGTGTATTTCAGAAATAAATAAGAGTTTAAAAATCTTATTTGTATATCAAAATTTTGAAATTGGAAATTAAATAGGAGTGTTTAGAGACTCTTATTTGATGAAATAAGTAAAAAAAATTTTATTTTGCAGATCAACAAACTATTTAATAACAAAATACAAAGTAATAAATAAATAAAACATTTTGCTCAAATTACTTACTGAACTTTCATTCAAATTACTTACTGAACCTTCGCTCAAATTACTTATTAAACCTTTGCTAAAATTATTTTTTTATATAACTTACTGAACCTTCACTCAAATTATTGTCTGAAGAACATTATGGGAGAATCATAGTAACCTGGTTGTGTGTGTGTCCGCAAATTAAGGGTTCGATTAGTTGATTGATAAAAACAAACCATTTGCTCTGAAAATACCCATTGTCAGACTAATCCATAATAAACCCTTCGAACCTTAAATAGTTTCTATTTACCTAGTTTACTAAACCTTCACTCAAATTACTCACTGAACCTTTATTTAAGGTATTTTTTTATATAACTTACTGTACCTTTGCTCAAATTATTTACTAAACCTTTACTTAAATTATTTACTGAACCTTTGCTTAAATTATTTACTGAACCTTCACTCAAATTACTTACTGAACCTTCACTTAAGGTATTTTTATATATAACTTGCTAAACATTTGCTCAAATTATTTATTAAACCTTCGCTCAAATTACTTATTGAACTTTACTCGAATTTTTTTACTGAACCTTTGCTCAAATTACTTATTAAACCTTCACTTAAGATATTTTTTTATAACTGACTAAACCTTCGCTCAAATTGTTGTTTAATATTATTTATTGAACTTTTGCTTAAATTATTTTTTATATAAATATAGCTTACTTTAAAAAAATCGTTAGATTTAATTGTTCTTTCACATATAATAAGATACCGATCCAGTTCTATAGCTTGTATTAATTTGAATAGTTTGTCAATTTCTTTATCCAGAACTTTAGTAATAGCCTTATTTGTTCTAGGTAAGTATTCGTTCATAATTGCCTTTAAAAGATTATTTATTTGTTTAATTTGACGTTGTTGATGTGAAATTTTAGTTGTTAAATATATATCGATTAATAATTTATGATAAGGAAGATCATATAAATAAGTATATTCAAATTTTAATTAAAAACTAAATAGGATTTGTACATTTTTATGAGAAATACGCAAGAATCGAACAGCACACATGAATTTGAAGAACTAAGATAAGTGACACAAAAAAATCTCTTAAGCAAGAAGAGCAGACAGTCTAATAAATATATTATTTAATTATATATGCTCCAGACCCTAATGGTTCTCGTTTCCAAGTAATAATAATGTGTCAATCAAAAATAACGTGTTCTTGACAAAATTAGTAAAGTATCAATTAATTTTTACTAGTAGTTATTTTTACCAGTTATACATCAATAATATGGGCAGATTTTTTTGATTTGGTGATTATTAAAAATTCAATGATAATTTTTTATAAAAATTTATCGAATCATTTAAATGATTTATGTGATATATTGCCTGATTACCGGTAAAATTGAATCATATGATTTTATTGATTGTATTTGATTGGTTAATCGCTTGTTATAGTTATAAGTTGCTTATTAATCGCTTATGAAACTGTTTTATAAAACTGTATAATTTTTATGAACATTACATATTTGATTGGCCAATTGCATTTTCTTAACTATAAAATTGCTTACGAAACCATTCATAAAACCTGCATAATATTAATAAACCTAACGATTTCAAATTATTAAAATTTGTAACATATTATTATAAATATATTTAAACTTAAAGACAATTACCCTTTGATTGATACAACACGTCATATCGGTAACCGTAATTTTAACTATCAATATAATATTATGAAATTGGGATATTATCCTAAAGATGCACGAAGAACAAAACGAAGTGGACATCAAATTCCTAACAATTATCAAGTTCAAGTTTTAATATATAAGCAAAATATTACATGTCAAATAGTCTATCAATCTAATGGAAGACCAAAATTTTATATAATATGGATAGAAAAAGAGACAAAAAAAAAGTACAAAATAATAAGTACAAAATCTTCTAGTGATACTTCGCAGCAATTTATAAAGGTAAAATTAAAATATTTATATATTTGAATTTAATATATTAATATTAAATTAATTACTATGATTAATCTATACTTTAATAGAGGCTAAATCCAAATAAGAATTCTACTTTGTCAGATGTTATTGTATTTGGGTTGGATTTAAAATGTCTTGAAACACATCGAGATAAACAACTTGCATCTCAGAAAAAACCTTATTTGGATTTTAAATCTGAATCGCAAAAAAACTATTATTAAAGCAACTGGCCTTAGATATTCATTCTTGTTCTAAAAAAATGTTAGAAGAACATGGATTTTCTGATACAAATTTGGATTATATAGGACTTAGTATTCTTGATGAACAAGTTAAAATAGATTTTACTGAATCAACATTAGCTATGCACGTTGATTCTATTATTTATGCATGTGATACTAGTTTAATTTCACGAAATAGTTATAGAAATTTGGCAGCAATTATGCCTTTTTTAGAATGAGAACATACTGTAGCTGCACGACATAAAGAAATTAATGAAATTATAGAAAAGCAAATTCCAATTAAAAGCTTTAATAATAATAATAATAGTAGAATTGAAACTTCATCTATTTATCCAATTATAAATGAAGACAATGAAATATTTATTAATCAAACTCAACTTGGAAATGGCGGAACAAGATCATTGACTGCATTGTTAATCATACTTATTCCAGATTTAACTACAGGTAATAATCCTGTTTTATCTAGGAATGATATTATTATTAAAATAAAGTTAAGTGGAGATGGACATCAAGTAGGTCATTATAACAATCATGTAATATTAACGGCATGTATTCTTAATGAAGGTGATAATGTGCTTAGCCCTAAAAATCAGCATTGGTATATAACTAATTTAATATTATACTGTATATTTTTATATGTATAATTATATATATTAATATATATAAATAAAAATTGGTATTATAGTATTGGTCTTTATTCCGGAACTGAAAAGTATGAATTATTAACTATTATTTATCAGCAAATTATTGATGAATTATTAAATTTACAACAAAATGGATTTATTAATAATGATAATATTTATTGGCAAGTTGAGTTCTGGTTTACTGCAGATTGGAAATATATGGCTTTAGTGTTAGGAATTAATGAACCAACATTAAACTATTTTTGTTTATGGTGTGATTGTCATAAAAATGAATGATGGGATATGACAAAAAATTGGCAAAATTTAGGAAATACTAAAGGTATTATATTATTTAAATATATATATAGTAAATAAGAATTATATTAATATATTAATTATTGAATTTATATTTTATATACTAGGTCATATTCGTTCAAGTTTATTACCATTTATTGTAGTTACAAAATGTGTACCAGACAATTTACATTTAATGCTTCGTATTGTCGATGTATTGCTTGAATGTTTTTTATTTGAACTAAATGATTCAATATCTATTCGAGAAAAAGTTGAATATACAATGGAAGCAATTGGAGTTACTAGTTTTAAATTTATACCACCTGCAAAAAAAACTAAGACTACAAAATGGACATGGCGTATATTAATGGGACCAGCTAAGTTACGTATTATTAAAAATTTTCTTGTATCTAACTTTATTATTGGTAATAGAGATAAAGATATTGAAAATTTATGGAAAAAATTTTATTCATTATATCGTACAATACAATGTAGTAATTTGTCAAAAGAAGACATTCTACAATTTTCACAAGATGCCTGTAAATGGGTTCAAAATTTTGCTAGACCAACATTAAAAACATCAAATAGTCAGATTATTCAAGAAGGGTTGTATCAGCGTGCTGATATAACTCCATATATGCATGTTTTAGCAAATAATGTACCATTATTTATGCAAGTATTATCGTTATACCAGCAAAATCTTTATTTGGAGTGGTTTACTACATCGAGTACAGAAAAAAAAAATCACGATCATGTAAGTGCATATATATTATAATTTAAATTATATAAGTTATATATAAATTTATTAAATTAAATTAATTTTTAGGTTAAACTTTTTTTTGGTAATATAACTATGGGAGGAGGAACTGGAAAAGGAAAAAAATCTGCTATTTATCAAATGTGTAATTTTGAAAATCGACAAATATATTACAAAATTAGTAAAACACCTACTGAAAATTCAGGCAAATTAATAAAATTATCATAATGATAGTTTTAGTTCTTGCATACGTATTGAAATACAAAAAATACTATTATATAAATTTCAAATATAACAATACTGTAATACATATAAAAATATTTGTATTATAATAAGCTAAATATTTAATTTACTATTTCAATTGTTCTATGTCGTAATTCTAAAGTACATTTCAATATTCCATGTGATATATACAGTCTACTCTTTCTATGCAGAACCCTCAGTTCTGGCCAAAAAAAAAAGTTCATTATATAGAATTACTATGTTTTTTTAATAGCCATTGCTCTTGTTATACTGAACTAATATTAAATTTTGAAAAATTTGAGTTCGTTATATCCAAAGTTCGTTATAAAGAGGTTCGTTATATCCAGAGTAGACTGTAATAAGTTTTCTCATTTATATGCTTTGTAATTGCCTTTTCCCGCCAAACAAATTTAACCGGTTTTTCAATGATATTACCTGCACTATCCATTTCTTCAACTAATACAAAGGTTTCACTTCCTAATTCATTTTGTCTTTCCCCCCAAAATTCACATTGCATTATGTTTCCTATTTGTCTATACCCATTTTGTCCATTAAAAATACAAGTATATTTTCATATGGATGGTCGATAAGAAAATCCAATTTCATTTGAAAAAAAATAATAAAATAGACTTTCCAGACAATTCTATTGAAAATGTTTTATTCCTTAATTGGTTCGATGAAAGCCTAATTTGTTATTAATATCTTGAAGAAAAACTGCACGAAAATGATTAAGAATTTCTTCAGATAAAACTGAAAAATATTGGCAGTGTGGAACTACGTGATTCATTTTATGTTTGACAATTTCATGTCTACTTAATGACGATTTAGAAGAATATGTGTTGTTGCAAAGCAAACAAGAAAAAGGTTTATGTGATGCCATGGTTTGTGCAAAAGCGATGCTAAAAACGAATGTTAACTACAAAGCCTTGTAATATTTTATATGTATTACATGAATTTAATTTACAAATTGATTAGTAATAATCATATTGCTACGCGCTAATTTATTATTATATAATGTCACGGATGATGGTGAAATCGGATGATCGTGAAATCAAACCCTATTTAATATACGATTTTTAAAATTTTTAGTGTATATTTTTTTATACTTTTTTCGATTAGGATTTAGGGTTAGAGTTTATAATAAAAGAGTATAGGTGGGTTTTAGTAGGGTTTATATTTTTAAATTAAGGCCCCCAGATTTCACGATCATCCAATTTCACCATCATCCGCGACATATAATAATAAATATCGATAACTTCTATTATATCACTTAATTTAATAATCACAATATTCCCATCAAAATTTTTCGCCCGCATGTATACACCAATTGGACATGTCTATGATTGCAAAAAATAATTAAAACCGTCAATGAGATTAAATTTGTATAAAATTGCAAAACGGCAAATAAAACTAGAATACAAAGATAACTAATCGCTATTTGATTTTCTTTATTAAATGCTTTTATCATTTTTATTTTAAACACTTATTAAACTCAAAATTCATTCGATAAATCTTTATAATTTCAATAAATTTATTTAAAGCATAAACGATATCAATAGTATGATCTATTTTAGGAAGAGATAAATAATAATATGATCTTTAAATATATAAAATTTCTAACAAAAAAATAATTTATCATACCAAGATACCTCGTATGTATTATTTGGGAACTTGTCCTAAATTTTTTGATATTTCTTGTATATTGATAGGTTTACTAACATACATATTATTCGAATGCTTTGGTGATTCAATTATAGGTTTAATTTTATCAGCTTCTAAAAATTGCTTTCTTATTTTATTTTCATCATCAAAAAGTCCCATTTCTTCAATCCATTCAGTAACAACAGCATTAACATATCGGCCAGTAGGTCGTTTTCTCGGGTTTGAATCCATGCATCGTTTGGCTAATTTAATATAGCGATCAGGAGTACCTGATGTAAATTCTGGTCTTAATCCAAAGTGAATATTTATCGCAAGTTCATTATCAAAATTATAACCATCGAAAGCCATTCTTCCAGTTGATATTTCCGACATAATGATGCCTAAATAATAAATATCTGCTGCTTGAGTATACGGGTTTCCTTGTAGAACCTCTGGTGCCATGTAAGGTAAAATTCCGTACACTTCATTATTTGGATTAGAAAGTCCTAAATCTGTAATATAAGCATTATCCAATTCGTCTTGCAAAATGTTTCCACTATGAAGATCTCGATGTACTATTCCTTGTGAATGAATTGCTTCAAGATCTGATGTTATACAACTTAATAGATTTAATTTATCTTCCCATTTCATTTGCGACACTTCACGAAGATTATTACGTAAAGATCCTTTTTCTGCATACTTCAAAATAAGAATGTAATCCCCTGAAGTTTCATCTCTCGATAGTCCGTAGCATTTCAAGAACGATGGATTTTTATATCCGATATCGCAAAATGCTTTCAACTTTAAGAAAAACATATTAGTCATAAATATAAGTGCAAAACAATACACAATAAATTTACCTCGTCAAAAAAATCTTGCTCATGAATTTTTTTAATTGCGAACGATTGTTTATTATAAGAATACTTATATTGAATGAGACATTTAGCATGATAAACAGTTGCAAATCCTCCCTTCCCGATCTCTTTAATATCTTCAAATTTGTTATACGGAATCCATAACAATTGATACTTTTCGTCTTCCAATATTTTTTTCACATTGTCATCAATATTAGGATATGAATATTTCTTTAATTCTATTTATTATTAAATCAATAAGATTTGACAACTAAAACCAAAACCAAAAAATTAAATAAATAAATACCTTGAAATTTGGATTTCTCTCTATTAATAATTAAATGTTTAGTATTATATATAAACTCTTTTTTTTAAAAAAAAACAAAACTTACGCTCGAAACCAGTACTCGGCTTCTTTTAAATCCTTTTTTGTTCCAATACCATTTCGATAACAATATCCAACATTTCGTATTCCAGAAACTTGACCTAGATTAGCTGATTTCAAATACAATTCAAAAGCTTTTTTAAAATCTTTTCCAACTCCAGTTCCATTCTGATAGCATTCTCCAAGATTAAAAATCGCACTGATACTCCCCTTTTCAACTGCTTTTTGATAATAAAAAAATGCCATATTTTCATCTTTTTGAACACCTTCTCCAAATCGATAACATTCCCCAACACTACTCATTCCACTTTTATGTCCCATATCAGCAGATTTCTTAAAATAAGCGAATGCCTTAGAATCATCCTTTTCAACTTCTAATCCTTTATAATAACAGATACCAAGTGCAAATGTTCCATTAGCG